TGAGACAGAGTTTCACTCTTGTTACCCAGGCTGGAGTGCAATGGTGCGATCTCGGCTCGGTGCAATCTCGGCTCACCGCAACCTCCGCGTCCTGGGTTCAGGCAATTCTCCTGCCTCAGCCTCCTGAGTAGCTGGGATTACAGGCACGCACCACCATGCCCAGCTGATTTTTTGTAGTTTTAGTAGAGACGGGGTTTCACCATGTTGACCAGGATGGTCTCGATCGCTTGACCTCGTGATCGACCCGCCTCGGCCTCCCAAAGTGCTGGGATTACAGGCGTGAGCCACCGCGCCCGGCCTAATTTTTGTTTTTTAAAGACCGAGTATGGCTGGGTCACCCAGGCTGAAGTGCAGTGTTGTGATCCCGGCTCAGAGCGATAGAGCTAGACTCCATCACAACAACAAAAACAATAATATTCCTTCAGAAAGTGATGGTGTTGCTCTCTTCTAGCACTGTTGTCTGATCAATTTGTTATTTATTTTTCTTGTCTTTATGAGGTGGGTTTTCACCATGTTGGTCAGGCTGGTCTCAAACTCCTGACCTCAAGTGATCTGCCTGCCTCAGCCCCTGCAGAGTGCTGGGATTATAAATGTGAGCCACTGTGCCTGGCCAACTGTCCTATTAATTTGGTTCTTGTTTCTTTTGTAGCTAACTCAGGTTTTTTTCCCCCTTGGAGGTTAAGATTTTTTATCTTTGTCATTCGTGGTCTCAGGTATCCACAGGTGTTTGTGATTCATGCTTTGTATCATGCACTGTCACTTCCATTTGGAAGATATGTCAGTTTTCAGCCCAGGAAGATTTTAATTCTCTTTATCTCTTTTTATTTATTTAGAGAGGGAATTTTGCTCTTGTTGCCTAGGCTGGAGTACAATGGTGTGAGATGGGCTCACCGCAACTTCTGCCTCCCAGGCCTTCTGCCTCAGCCTCCTGAGTAGCTGGGATTACAGGCGTATGCCACCATGCCTGGCTAATTTTTGTATTTTTAGTAGAGAGGGAGTTTCTCAATGTTGGTCAGGCTGGTTTCGAACTCCCGACCTCCTGACATCAGGTGATTCAGCCGCCTCTGAAAGTGCTGGGATTGCGGAACCACCATGCCCTGCCTTCTTTATTTCATTTTCTTTTTTTTTTTTTTTTTTTTTTTTTTGAGACGGAGTTTCGCTCTTGTTACCCAGGCTGGAGTGCAATGGCGCGATCTCGGCTCACCGCAACCTCCGCCTCCTGGGTTCAGGCAATTCTCCTGCCTCAGCCTCCTGAGTAGCTGGGATTACAGGGACGCACCACCATGCCCAGCTAATTTTTTGTATTTTTAGTAGAGACGGGGTTTCACCATGTTGACCAGGATGGTCTCGATCTCTTGACCTCGGGATCCACCCGCCTCGGCCTCCCAAAGTGCTGGGATTACAGGCTTGAGCCACCGCGCCCGGCCTTTATCTCATTTTCTTAATCATATCTGTCCTCTCCTCCTCCAACTTCTGGTGCAGTGGTTCAAGCATTCCTCTGCTTGAATCTAAGATACAGAACCTGTCCTTGGCAGCCTTCTCTGTTGTAGATGCCCTTGCTGTTGTCACCTGTGTGGGTGAATGTGAAGGCAAATTGTTTGGATTGATTGAAGTGATGAGTAAGTTTGGCTAAGAAAATACATGTCTTGTGCAATAGAGGAGGAAGAATGGTTTAGGCAGATCCCCCCATGCAGAAAATCCAAACTTCTTGAAATTTTTTTGTTTTGTTTTTTTGAGGCTGAGTTTTGCTTTTGTTGCCCAGGCTGGAGTGCAATAGTGTAATCTCTGCTCGCTGCAGCCTCTGCCTCCCAGGTTCAAGTGATTCTCCTGCTTCATCCTCTCCAGTAGCTGGGATTACAGGCACGTGTCATCATGCCCTGCTAATTTTGTATTTTTAGTAGAGACAGTTTTCTCCATGTTGGTAGGGCTGGTCTCAGACTCCCAACCTCAGTTGATCGCCTGCCTGAGCCTCCCAAAGTGCTGGGATTATAGGCATGAACCACTGTGACAGGGAAAATATTTTTTCTCTTCTTGGGAAAGTGTTTCCAGGTTCTAGCATGTGCCTGGCTTCACATGTCTGTGGAATCCTCTTGCCCATGCTGTACTGCCTCAGTCACCCATGAGCTCAGGCACTTAACCTTTAAGATCTCACTGACCCGACACTGCCAGCCCAGCCACTTGCCCTCAGAATATCTTATTTATTTAGAAACGGAGTCCCTTCTGTTGCCCGGGCTGGAGTGTAGTTGTGCAATCTCAGCTCACTGCAACCTCCACCACCTGGGTTCAGGTGAGTCTCCTCCCTCAGCCTCCTGAGTAGCCGGGATTACAGGTGTCCACCACCATGCCCAGCTAATTTATTGTATTTTTAGTAGAAACAGGGTTTCACCACGTTAGCCAGGCTGGTCTGGAATTTCTGACCTCAGGTAATTTGCCTGCCTAAGCCTGCTGAAGTGCTGGGATTACAGGTGTGAGCCACCGTGCCCGGCCCACTCTCATAATGTCTCTGTGATGGGTGGGCTGGGATCTCTGCCTGTGGACTTTATATTTTTCATTTTTTTTTTTTTTTTGAGACGGAGTTTCGCTCTTGTTACCCAGGCTGGAGTGCAATGGCGCAATCTCGGCTCACCGCAACCTCCGCCTCCTGAGTAGCTGGGATTACAGGCACGCGCCACCATGCCCAGCTAATTTTTTGTATTTTTAGTAGAGACGGGGTTTCACCATGTTGACCAGGATGGTCTCGATCTCTTGACCTCGTGATCCACCCGCCTCGGCCTCCCAAAGTGCTGGGATTACAGGCTTGAGCCACCGCGCCCGGCCATATTTTTCATTTTTACTCATAACTTAGTTTATTTAACAAATACATTTCCAGTGTCCCCTGAGTCTTAAACTGTGACCCTGCTGTCTAGGGTCATAGGTGACTGCTAGGCAGTGTACCAGGGTCATCTTGGTGGCCTGGGCAGCACATTAGGGAGCACAGAAACAGGCACTGCTTGCACCAGGGTAAGTTTCACAGATGAGGGTCTATTTGGGTCAAGCCTGGAAGGCTGTTTTCACTGGAGGGGAGGCAGCAGCATTCCATGTCTGGAAAACTGCAGGTACAAGGGTAAGGAGATGCCTGTGAATAATTGGTTTGACAAGAGACTTACAGGAGTCATGGTGAATGAGGCTAGCAGTTGTGTCTTTTCTATCAGATACAAGCTTGTGGGTAGCAGCCTCGGCCTGCAATCCTCAGGACAGTCACAGAGCTGGACCTGGGCCT